CTGGCTGTGTGGAGATGTTAACGCTGAGAGATTCGATAAATGACGATTGGGAATTTTCGGGACTGATCTTTATCGATTTACACTGTCATACTCTGCCACAATACGCATTATTAAACCGGTCCATAGGGCAGGGCTCAAAATGTATGCATATATTTCGATAGCTACTTTGATTCATGAACTTATCGACTGATTGTTCGCTTAAGACTTTGTTTAGAGATAGATTAATTCCCAATTATATGACAACTTTGCGTGATGTTTCATCTAGGCGGACTAAACTAGAGTTTGGCTCGCGCTGAGCATAAAATAATTACTGATCACTTATTATTAATAAGTAATTAATGGACGCATGATTAGAAATCGGATGCCCTCCAGAAAGGAGAATTCTCGTTAATTTTTTTTTTTGTTTTTATTGGAATAACGCTGAAATGATTAAACCGATGTTGGGCTTCATTATTCTCGAGAATTCTTGGCGGAATTGCCGTGAAGGTGTGAAATTCTTGAAGAAGCGCTCTTCTCGGAAGCCAACTCCCGACGACCCGTGGAAGACACTAATTATCATCGTCATCATTATCATCACATCCTTTATTTAAACACGATAAAACTTTAAGCACTCCAATATAGAACTATACTAAAAAATAAAGATAAAATTAGTTACAATTTAAGTCTAAGATAAATCTCTAAAAATAATGTTCGATAAGAATAAGGAATAATACAATATGTATAAGATTTAAGATTAATTTACATTAATCACATACTCCCCTCTCTCTATCAATGCCCCGTTTTAAGGGTATTTAAAGCTAATCAAAGCTACACAGAAAGGAGAGAAGTTGAAACAAGGATGTGGTGTCATCGGGGATCGAACTCGGTACGTCGCACCCTTGATCCTATAAAGGTTTCAACTATTGAGTCAATTTACGGCTTACTTTCCTAGCGCGTTTACTGGCCAGTCAACCAAAAACAACCCATTTCGAGAAATACCTTACACATCCGATAAATTCTTTTGTGGTTTCAGAGAAGGAAAATTAAACTGACCATAACGTTTGCCTTACGCAAGTGTGTTCGTCAAGTTTAATTAAAATTCCCAAACATATTAGATCTTTATCATTTGCGGTCAGAGTTAGAACGGTATTAAATCGTAGCGATGTCTATCTGATGATCAACTGGCCATGTCTAATTTGCGAGAGAGGAAGTCGATTAAGTACTCTAAATATCAAAGAAAACGTTTATGCAAACAGTACTTTCATGTGGTATAACCATGGCACATATTGAAGATCCCGGCGAGACTGGAATTCTTTTATCCTTCGCACTTGTTGCCTTGTTTGTTATTATTATTATCAACTCGAGAAATGTTTTTGCATTCCGTCTCTGATTGGCTTTGATCCATTGGGACATCGACTATTTCGTGTTAATCAGCTAACGCTGGAGGTATGTTATTATCTCCTTATTTTTACTTACGTCAGCGACTGACGCGGATGGGGCAACCAAGCAAATTATGGATTATCGACGACACACAAAATGATGACCTTGTTCCCAGGGTTGGTTGTGAGGATTGCATTGTATACATCTATTTCGAGAAAGGTTTTCAGAAAAAGTGCACGCGACAATCCCGAAAGGTATTCTGGGTGGTTTTGAGTTGACTGTTCTTAATTCTTTTGTGGTTTCAGAGAAGTCACCGAACTTTGTCGCACTCAAGCTGATATTAAACCCATGCCAGATCGGACACTTGTAGCTTCGCAGATCACTGAAATATAAACAAAATCCTCTTTGTCAAGTTTTGGCGTCCAGCGGGTATGTGGGCAGATAAAGAGTCAATCTTTATCTAGTAAAATATTCCCCCGAATCGGTTTCAAAGCAACAGTACTATAGAGTTTAAACTTGATCCTTTCGAGCACTAAGAGATAATTTATAAATTATGGTTTTGTGTTGTCAAGTTGAACATGCATAACATCTGTCCAGAACCTACGCATGAGCAGGATTTCCTTCAAACAAAGTTAAAATGACATTATTGCAAAAACTTCTTGCTGGCAATAAAGAAATGAATTTTTTTGTACGAAGACAACCTACCAAAATGTATCAGTGACTCCGCCAAGACTGCACTGTTTTAGTTGGCATGTGATTTCCAATTCCCGCGCAGTAGTCACATGGTAAGATCACGTGGTAAGGAGCGAAACAACTTTGTGTTGTTTAAAATTTTGCCGGTTGCGGTGAGCTTCGCAGCCAAAACATGATTCACTTTTCAGCTATTTTTAATAACTCGGTGAATAACTGGTCCATGCGAGGATCTTCATTCAAGCAAATTAAACTCGGCCAATCATTAGGGTATTTGTTTTGCTTGCCTCAGACAAATCCAGCTCCAGCAATTGTTTACGGGAAGAGTCAATTTTTTTGAAGTTACTGCCGGCAGTTGTCGTTCTCTACTTCACAGCAAATGAAAAGGAAAATTTGCGTATAGAAAGTTATTTCTTAATGTAAAGAACAGAAACTTTCACAGTCCACTGGAAAACAAAACTATGTAATTAAAAATGATGAAAACTCTAACTATTATTACTTGAGCAAGAGAAAAATGATCGAAGTAGTCTTTTCTTCTCGAGTAAGCTTGCTGGCCTTTTGCAGGCTTCAGTTAACGCTTTATGGAAGAGTAGGGAATTCACTAGTTGAGATATATGAAAGGTAGGAAAATCTATCATTTGGTAGTTTCGAGAAGGCCTAAGAGAATTAACAGATGCATTGTATGGCTGTGAAAAAGTCGAGAAAACGTTCTGTTTTCGTGCGTGGCTTATTAATATTTTAAAACTGAATAACTTTCAGTTAGAAGGGATGTAAAGTTCTAGCTCAGTTATGTGAAAGGGGTACCATTGGTCAAAAGAAGGTATACGAAAGGGGTACTTTTTCTATCAAAAACAGTATATAAAAGGGTAAGGGGTTAGACCTTAGGGCGGAGCCTCTTCTCATAAAACTTTGTTTAGTACCTCCCGGAATTGCACTATTCACTGGGTCATGGGAGATTTATCCGGTGGATAGCGCTATTCAGCCTTTGAACAACCGACGCCAGTGGTAAGTGATCGAACCTTCGCGATCATTACAGATCAAGACGGCCTGGCACCGCCACGTAAGGGTAGACGGTACAGGCTATGCGAAAAAGTAATATCTTATGTATGTAGCGAAGGCCAAACTATAAAACAACGGTTGAATTCTGAACGATTTTGTTTATTCAAAAAAATATATATATTATACAAACAGAAAATTCCTTTCATTCAAGTTATTTATCTCTTGTAAACCTATACAGGTCGCTCGATTTCTTCTGCCTTATCTAAACCAAAATTAGGGCGAGCTTACGATAATGATATCAGCCAATTTGTCAGCTTATCAGATTTACGTTAAACTTCATTTTGCAATTCCAAATATAGCTGACCCTGGGCTAAACATGCCTCAATCGTACAGTCTACAGACCCCCTCCAGTGCAGACAAGTGTAAGATCTATGCTAGTTTAGTTTTGTTCCGTGTTTAAGGGCAATAATATTTCCGATCCCCTGTGTTTGATTCACGAAGTACGTGATTTTAGATGTGCCTCATTTTAATCACTGCTTCCGTGGAAACGGACTTCTTTAATAGTATTATCCTTCTATTTCTATTTTAGTGACGGTTTAATTGATTGATCACAGAAGACAAACAAAAATCATATACTATTTGCTTGATTTCTAAAGTTATGATTCAGCCAGAAGTTAAATGAACTAAACAGACGATATTGGGTTTCCAGATTGGGCTTTTTACCGATTACCAAAGTGAAGACACCCAACAGGCGGTGCTGTTTCTTAGATTTTAACTTTGTGTTTTTTTGGGAATATGCCCATACTGGCAAAGTCGTTGAGATATTTCACAGACAATTTTGCTTTAAACCGGGTTCACTAATAAATTAGCCTTTCTTGAAAAATTGGCTTACGATTTGAAATAATATCGCTTGAGGCTTTAGAGGTTATACTTATTGACCAATTAGCAAGACGGTGCATATCAAAGGAATGGAACCGCCCCTACCTTCAAAGTTCGAAATGTGATAAACGCTATAAACAGCTGGTGTACACCATATATCTTTCGTGACTTTAATAATTTCCAAAAAGTTCATCCATTAATCCAATTCTTCAAAATACAATGCTCACATATGCATGTTAAAAATATATGTACATTTTCTTTTAATGAATTTCCATATCTGAACGACGTAACTACGCTGAAGGTTGGAAAAAACTGATACATGCATGTAAGCACTAAAATAGATGCCCATCCTTTTTGCTTGAGATGTTCATGATTGTTTGTTCGTGCGTAGTAGCTGAAAAGTTTGTTTATTTGACCCTCGCGTTCTAAGGATCACGTTCATAAAGCGATAACTTGGAATTTTCTATTTGATTTCTTGAGAAAGAAGGAGCTTAATGATAAACCACTTCATTTTATAGTCTCCAGTATCAGTGCCATACTCCAATTCTTAGTTTTTGACTAATTTTTATAGTCGAGTGCCCTTGTGACGTTCTTAGGGGCAAAATTCAAAAAGTGTAACTAACCTTTTACTTGTTGTTTCGTTTAGTCTTTATGCGATATGTGAACCGCAACAGACAACTTTTACGCAGTCATTTGTTCACCAAAAATCGAAAAAAAATTGTTGGCCTATAATATTCCACGGCACTAAAAGAGTTGCCAAGTTTGCTATCACTTCGCGACTGAGAAAGACCGCCGGTTGCCTTAACAGGCAACTGAAAACAGCAGCAAGAGTCCAACGTTCGAATTGACCATGCACTAATTAGCGCCGTAAAATTTTAAATGTCCGAAACAACAAAGAGGGCCTGTTTTCTTTTTGAAGCTCCTGAGTCCTTGAGTGGCATTAATGTTTCTTCCTGCCTTAAAATAATTGTTTCCTTTGTTTTTAATTTCAGAGTTTCAGCTTCTCTTCCTCTGTGGCAAACCAATCTGCCTTCGGTTGAATTCGATCGTTTGACACTTTCTCTGACTGCATTATCATCAGCAAATCTTACTTTTCGTCTCTGAAATGGAGACTTCGCTGCGTCACTAAGTTGCTGAAGAGAACCAGACTTGATAAGAGCAGGCGATGCGGTTGTTTGGACTCCAAATCCTAAAATCCTAAAATCCTCTGACCTGCTACGTTTTCTAACCGGTTTTTGAATGGTCTTTACTGTTTTTGGCTCCAGATCGAAGTTGCTGGGTTCTTTAGTAAGGTCTGGATCACTGTTGCTCAACATACCATCTTGCAGCCTTTTGATGTTGTGGAAAATAAGAGTAAAGGCCTGATCCATTTCTTTGTCATACCTGTTGGAATGTTTTCTAGATGGGTGATGGCTCATATCTTTTGTAGGTTTGAAGTCTCTCATAGCGGGAACAACATCTTGTATTTTGCAACCTGTTGTACGTGAGCCGCAGATTTAAGGCCACACAAGTATCTACACATTTGTTAATTTGAATGATATCTATTGATCACAGTATTTATACCAACGAAACGCTGTGGATTTTTTTAATTACTATCTACCAATCAGAGGTGAGATTTAACAGCACAAAAGAGTTTAGTCAGTCATGTGTGTGACATATGCATGATGTTTGGTCCAAGTGCCATCGATCGGGTGCACTGAATTCTACATGCTAGAGATAGTGATTTTGCTCAAGAACTTCTGGAGAAACCGACTCCATCTTGATCGAGCTGCGCCTAGGGCCAGGCGTTGCTACAGCGTAAGATCTTTTCTTATGTTATGATTAATGACCTTACGCAAGGTCGTCGGCAAGGGAAAAAGGAAAGGCACAAAGCCAATAGCTTAAGCTTCCACGTGCGTCTTCATTAATTTGTTACATTTCGTTGCCTTTCGCTGCCTGCAGCTTCCTTGCTATTTTGATTGCATAACTTCAAAAATCAAAGTTGTGGTATTCAATGCTATATGCCGGGCTTGAATATCGGAGACCTTACTAAACTGTGACGCCGGAGCTTAGGCAACAAGGAGGTCAAAGAATTCGAAGAACTGTTCAGTTTATTGAGTGAAACAACCCTGCACGTGCATACATCACGCTTTTATGTAAATTTCTCTGCCGTCTCTAACAGGCTCAACTTTAACTTAAACTGGACCCATGTTCAAGTTCCTTAAAAAGCGTAACGATATGATTTACTGTACGTACACGTATTTATGTCTGTTTTCACTGACGTCGCTGTATTTTGTGGCATTGTAAGTTATCATAATCCTTGAGTACCACTTTTGGCCCCGTAATCCCCGCTATTTCAGTTAACTTAAAAGCTGTCCCTACAAGCCCGTCTAAGGAAAAAATTTACCCCATTAAATAAAATGAAACAAAGTGCCATTATTTAAGGAAAGACTGAGAGATCAAGTACTTGGTAAAACTAAAGAGTTAAATTGGAAGTAGTTGCGTAAGACAGATTTTGATTAATTTGGTCAGAAAAAAAAATACGCATTTCTGACTTTTCATCATGGAAAATACACTATACAATTTCTTTACCAATTTACAATGGTTCACACGTAAGCCAAAGTAAAATTGCCTTTCTCAAGAGAACGGTTTTAGACTGCTTGCAAAGAATTTTTAAATTTTGAGTCCATTGTGATATTAGTATTATCATTATTATTTAGTTCGTCTAAGTTTTCCTCCCTCTGGCCTACTCCAGCATCTTTCGATCTGAAAAATTAATATTTGAAAGATATGAGGGGAAGTGACTTAGAGTGATTTTGCTTCTTCGAAATATTGCTTTTATACAGCATAATTATTTTACATTTTTTGTACTTTGTAGTGTTTTTCATTATCTGTTATGCACCTGCGTACGTGCTTGTCAGGTATAGACGCCCCTACCTATTTAAGGACGTAAGCGACCTCCCAGTAGTGCTGTGTCATATTCAGTTTGCTATTTCAATCTCGCCCTTAAATCCCTGACATTGTACGGGTCTCCTCCCCCGAGCTGCGCGAGGTTTTGTAATGAACGTCTTTTTAGTTTGTAACTGAACTTTTGGCGCGAATCTTGAGGAAATTTATAATTTTGACAACTTCCATGTTTCATTGTACTTCTCTAAATTAACTCTCAGGTAATATCCGTCTCCAAAACGGCCACTTGAAAGGTGTCCTCCGAGGAAAAGTTGGATTGATGAATTAATTCGTTAAAAGTGCCACTCATGTCCTTAGCAAAGCTGTGGCTGGTTTCCAGAGGCCAGTTGTTTTTCAATTTACGTTAGGGAACTCAGAGTTAACCAGCCCTTTTCATTCCGTGCTCGTGTCCCTGTGGTGACCTCTTTTGCTGCGTGTTTGGGAAACATCCAATCAAACTTCACGCTCTCATTTAGCGTATACGCATCATGCAAGATGTGGTCATACTTGTTAATATAAGCGGCATTTGTCAGCATTTTTTAGAGCTAGCCTTTTTAATTTTATTCTCTACCTTCTTTCATTCTTTACTGATACAGATTTGTAAAAACAGTTTTCTTTAAAAAGAAAACAAAGAGTCAGTTCCAGCGTATAAAAAAATGGCAAGACTGAATGAAACATGCTTCTGATCACGGGCCTTGGGAGAGCCTCTTCTGCTTGCAAAAGATCATTTTGGATTACTATTCGCGATCGGATCTAGCCTTTGCGGGTTTTACGTCACTTCAGGCATAAAAGACGTTCTTATTATAACTTATTTTATGCTTCTTTTTTCTCATATGTCGTGCAATAAAGATACAGCCACTCACCTAGATGAGGAACGAACGTTGATTTATGAATAAAGTTAACTGAGTGGTGTTGTATTCCTTGTAATTTATCTACTTTTTTGCCCGATTCCTGTCGATCTCAACGATTCAGTTATCTTCTTCAGAGTTGCCAGTTCTAAAGTGTCGAGTTAGCGTTGACCTCAAATATGTTTATTGAACTTGGTTTGCCTTTTTGAATGTGGTGCCTGCTTTAAGTACTTTTTCTCAATGTGTATTTTTCCTTGAAATATCAGGCTTATGGAAGCCCTCCTCCCCCAAAATGTGCTATCATGATGGTCGATACAGCCAACAACTTTGTCGAAGACAAATGGTAGCATATTACATTTATTTATCTGAGTACTTTTTTTTCTTCTTTTATTAGATCAACGTACATGTAACAACGTCTTGAACACTTCAGAATGGTATCTTACAATTCAGAAAGGTAGCCAATAAGGCTAAGGTAAGCAACAAGTGTCTAATGGGTCCCCAACAAATAAGCATTAGAGCCTTCAGGCGAGTGTGGTTTTAAGTAAGAAGAAAACTTAACTCATGAGTGGCATATTTAGTTCATTCATTCACTCATTCAAAGAAAAACAGAAAACATTCCCTGAAGGCAAAGTATGACGAAATTGCAGACACCCAGTCAATAGCATGCATAACAATTTGCATTTGTTTTCAAAAAATATGTTTGCCAAGTTTTCTTGCTGAATTAATTCTAAATGTTTTCTCTATGAATGATGATGAACTGCTGCAAAAGTGTCTCAGTTGTATCAGAAGAATTCGTCTGCATTTTAAAAGGTTTTCTTTATGTTACATACCATAATTTTTCTTGTTAAAGTTTCCTTCGTTCTTAAACTTAACTCAGCAGCCGTAAAGCTGATGTCAACTTTCCTTGGTTATAACAATTGCAGGACGAGGTGGCTGATCTGACCAAGGTCGTTTTGTTAAAGGTGGACGTCGTATGTCCTCCTTTCTTGTAGCGTAGTCGTCGGAAAATCGGACTTTTCTTGTTTCTGCTGGACAAGCAAATTCACCACAGTAAGAGCCCGACATTGGGCGCGTCATGTTTGACTGAAGTTCAATTAGTGTCCTCATGTCTCCCGTATACTTTAACAGTGAAGAATCTGATCTACTTCTTTGTCTTCTCAAAGGCACTTCCAGTGTGTTTGTGCAAGTAGTTATCTCCGACTTGCCTTCCGCTTGCTCGAGTGTTGTAGTACTGTTCGATAAATGGCCGTCTTGCAGTCTCTTAATGTTGTGAAAAATAAGAGTGAACGCGTGATCCATTTCTTTGTCATAATGACTTCGTTTTCTACCGCAGCTGTCCACGTTTTGAGATCGGTGATGATGTTTCATGACAGAATGTGTTGTATTTCGTCTTTTGAGGCTTTAAGTTGTTAATTAAGCAAACTAGCTTGTTTGTTGTGTCACGTTTTCATAATAACCACAGCTATATGAGAAGGCAATCTACTTATATACATTGTTTATATAAACAATGGACTCTAAACTAGGATTACGTCATTAACAGGTTCAATTGTCTCAAAGACTGCATTAAATTACGCGGGTCTATTGTTGTTCTGTGAATAACGTACATGCCACAAGTTTATGTTCATATGTTTACTGAACCTATCATGCCCTTGCCACCGAAAGTTAAAAATTATCAATTTATTGAATTTTGCTGCAAAACGTTAGTACAGTAGAGAGTATAGATTTCTTCCTGTTTTGTAACCCTAGTTAGAGCTGTTAATCGGCTTTTAATTAATCATGATTATACTGACTGTTCAGGGTCATATTACACATACTAGGTAAACCTCAGTTATTTGGTTCATGATACTTCAACCCCATACGTGATGCCATTTATCTTAAATACGAAATTAGCAACACCGTATAGAATCCTAGTTTACAAAATGACGTCATGTCGTTAGCGGGTTTTAAGAAACTTTTTTTTAATTGTTATTCACAGTTTAGGTCGGACCAATACTTAGAAGAACAACCATAATAAAGTATAAAGCCTGACTCACGCGAACTTCACAAAGGAAAAGCAGTTTATTCATTGTGTGTGCATTTAATGAAGAAGTTACTTTCTCCCAATGAATCGTCTCATACTCCTTTCTCAAATTATTATCTCCTACAATGAGAGCATTGAAGCTCCGTTATCTTAGTCATGCTCATTTGATATTTCAACAAGAGCATTTATTTAGTTATTTATTCATTTATTTATGAGTACCTAAAGGATCTAATAATACAATCACATACAATCTTAGATCGGACGGGGAGAGGTTACTTGAGGATCTTAGTGCAAGAAGATACTTGGAGACAGGGTTTTCAAAATTGCCGCCCCTAGAATCGGGAACACTTTGCAGAAGGACATTAGGAAATAGGACAATTATCACATTATTAAGAAACAGTTAAAAGACTTATTATTTTAAACTTGCACACAATTTTTAACTAAACATAGGTGTATATAAATTTTACTAGCTTTCTTATTCACTTTAATGAAACGTATACAATTTCTTTTAGTTATAATTATTTTTTAGTAATACGTGCATAGTAAATATAAGTAAGGGGTCATATACAGATATCTACAGGGTGTCCCAAAAGTTCTTTCCCCTAATTTCATGCTCTATATATAACTTTTGATCAAACTTTATTTTTACATGAAATTTCTTGAAGATGTTTATTTCTCTATCGAATACATGATGTATTCAGAATTTCAGTAACTGGCATGCCCTTTTTGTTTTTCTATCATTTTCTATAGCCGTTGCGGTATCCAGTGGAGTACAGTGTGTAGACCCACAGATGATCCACTGATTTTGAGCTTTTTTATCACTTGGTGCGCAGGAGCCAGTTGAACACCCCAAAAATGTTTGTTTAGTTTAGGGAGCTGGAAAAAAGACATATGTCGGGTATTTATCCACAAAAGGTACAATCATCCCGGGCCCCTTGACAGCGGGGCTTTTGCATGTACTTCTTACAAATTTGAGGCGAGCTGGGCGCTACTTGATAGACTAAGCAGAGGGGTTTTTTTTGCCATCTCAGGGGCCTCTAATTTAAAGCATTCGCTTTTTATGACCCTTTCTGGACTTGGCTTGCTAACTGTGTGAGAGTTTCCTCGTCGAGTGTCCTATTTTGTATCTAGCCTTTTTTAAGACTATTTTAGCTGCCTTATTTAGGACTTTTGGTCTTCCTCTTCGTTTCTTGCCTTCAAAACCTTCATTTCTCCATGATCATTTTACCTGCCAACAGTCGGATTTTTCCAGTTTTTTAGCGGTTTCTACAACAGATAAGCCAGTAAATTGAAGTATGCATGCTTTTGCTCTCACGTAGCTGAACGTTTTTTACGTTAAGGGGTTTGTCTTTCGTGATACTCACAAAAAAACAAAGAAAGAGTTCGAGCAATTCGGGCTATAAAATACAAAAAATATGTGGCTGGAAAATATGCTCGCGCAAGCGCACATTTGGCGGAGAAGTATACATATCGAATATTCGGGTCAAAAGATGGCACAACAAGTATGAAAATAGTGAAATAGCTTGAAAGACACAACTTTTGACTAAATGACTTGCTTACCAAGTCCAATCGTACTGAAATGCAGTCTTATAAAGTAGAAGAACGAACTTTTGGGACACCCTGTATGTTTTATTATTATTATTATTATTATTATTATTTATGTCTTCAGTGAGTTAGTTAGGACAGTTAGTTATTTAGTTAGTTAAAGTTCGAGTCGTGATGATCCTATTACTTTCTGACATCTGTTACAAAAGATTGTGCGTTGGAGATTAAGTTTAATTTTGTTTGTATTTTCTGCCCTTTATCATAGTAGCGAAATGGTATCATACAAGTCTATATCCGTCAATACTGAATTAAAAGCTTTTCCCTGGTTCTGCAATGCCTGATTGTATTCATTGAGAACATTTTAAGCGAAGTTTAAACTCCTTTGAACTCGCGGCAGATATTTTGTAATTTAAGACTTTAATTAAAAAAGGGTAAGTAACAACCTTAACTGGCTTAATTAAGCAATAGACCACACTTTCTATGGGTTTACCGGCGTGATAACCCACGCGGGATGTAGGGAGAACACGAGAAAAGCTTGTAAATCACGAGCCGAAGGCGAGTGATTTACAAGCTTTTCGAGTGTTCTCCCAACATCCCAAGTGCACCGTAATTTTTAGGGAGTTATTATAACTCCAAAAATGGAGTAAAAATTTTAGGTACAGGATAACCCCTTTTTTGGGGTTATTTTGACTCCTAATTTAACTCCGAATTTGGGGTCATTTTTACTCCTGAAAAAGAGTTCTTTTTACTCCCAGTCTGGAGTTAAAATTACTCCGAAATGGGGTTGCTTGTACTCCTTACATGGGTTGTTTTTACTCTTTTTGGAGTTAATTTAACTCTGAAAGTGGAGTAAAAATTTTAGGTACAGGATAACCCCTTTTTTGGGGTTATTTTAACTCCTCATTATCTGGGGTCACTTTTACTCCTGCAAAAGAGTTCTTTAAACTCCTTTTTGGAGTTAAAGTAACTCCACGAAAAATAACTCCACTGTAAGGAGTTAAATTAGCCCCATTCGAGGAGTTATTATAACTCCCTGAAAATTACAGTGTGGGTTATCACGCCGGTAGACCCATAGAAAGTGTGGTCTATCGCTTTTATAAAATAACTTTTAGTAGAATGGAGTCTTTTAGGTAAAAAATATGGTTCTAGTACCGTGATCAAGTCACGTCTTCTCTCTAAAGTCATCATAAGCCAATCATGACTCACGATTTAATAGCGTTGGACTTTCTCAAAACTCAGTTCAGTCAAACAACAAACAGCAGCACTTCAAAACACGAGTTTTTGCACTCATTACATGATAACTTATGAAAGCTGTTTAACAGGAAAAGTCAACACATATTCATGCGAACGTACAATGAAAGAATACGTTCATGGTTTGTTTACTACAGTAGAAATTAATTGAACATCAGACTGTACGCAGCCGTATTTTGTTGACTCGATCCGTAAGAATTTCGTTATTACAGACGGAACTGACAGCTATTGTAATGGAGGACTTCATTCACTTTTTACAAAATAAAAAGTAGTGGTTTAAGATCTGTTTTCTGGACTTTATTATGATCAAGAAATCCTGCGGTAACGACGTGGCTGCATTTGCGAAATTGTCGCATGTAACTTTGTATGCACGTACAGCGACCGATGGAAATATGTCACTGGTGGAGAAAGGTTTCTTTGCCGTAGCCACATATTAGCGTTAATATTTGTCGATTCGTGAAGTCAGGTGGTTCATGAGGTAGGTTATGGCATCGATATCACCGAATAATTTGTCCAAATGTTGGAAAAAACCAGCCCGAAACTCTGACATCTTTCATCATCCTTGGCAGCTTGTTTAAAACCTACAGCGGCCGATTTTGTACCATATCTTGATCAGAGATCTCTTTTTGGAACAAGTTCTTTCATTAAGGAATTTAATTTTGACATAAAATAAATCAAGAATGCTAAAACTATCCGTTTTGTTGCTGGTTGGCAAGTGGTCAAGTTTTCCTAGAGACTTTCTACACCAGAAATTCACACAGTTGTTGTCTTTCTCTGCGATTT